GCCACCACTAGAAGCCCATGGGTCTCCCCTGTGGGAATGCGGGGGATGCCACAGGCCTCAATCCCACCCCTCCTCTTCCCTCCTTCTTCTATCCCATTCCATTCCCTTTTCCCCTCTCCTCCTCCCTCCCAACTGCTCTACAACAGCATTGTAGAATGTAAAAATAATAATAATAAAATTCAAACCAACAAAAATCTCCCACAAGGAACCCTGGGTAATAATAACTATGGGAAAAAGACTTGTAGACTTTCTTATTGATACTGGAGCCACACAGTTGGTCTTAAACACAAGAGAAGGTCCCCTCTCCCCTAAAACCACTACAGTCATGAGTGTCTTCAGAGAATTTTCTCATGGGCCTTTTCTCTTACCCTTGTGTGCCACCTAGAAAAGACCTGTTTGAAACATAGCTTCTTGTACATGCATCAAAGTCCAATATTTTGGGCAATGATTTGCTAACCAAACTAAATGCACAAGTGATTTTTATACCAGGGAGTATGGAATGTTAAGGTACCACCTGACCAAGCCTGTGTTCATCAAGCTGCACTATTACCAGAAATACCTGAGAAGATTCTACAAGAAGGAAGGTTAGATCTGTAGGCTGACAGAAGGCCAGAGTGAACTAGAACAGCAACTCTAGCAAAGGTAAAGCTCTAACTGGGCATGAATTTCCCAAACATAAAATAATACCCTCTGAAGAGACAGGTCAGAGAAGGTAAAAGCCTTTAATAACTGCCTTTCTTGAGTACCAACTTATATAGCCTTGCCAGTCCCCGTACTTCTATCTTGCCAGTGCAAAAACCAGGGACCAAAGACTAATATTTTGCTCAGGACTTGGGGGCCATTAATCACATTGTGACAAATCCTTACTCACCACCCCATCTGAAGATTTTTGTTGGTTCACAGATTTAGACGTGAAAGATGCCTTCTATTGCATTACTCTGAATCCTGAGTTCCAAGAACTGTTCACTTTTGAATGAGAAGATCCAGAGACTAATATGAAACAGCAATATTGTTGGACTATGCCGCTATAGGGACTTAAAAATACTCCTACCGTTTTCACAGAAGCTCTAGCCAGAGTTCTAAGAGAATTTCAGCTGGATGAGAGACTCCACTTCAGTTTGTGGATGACATTTTGATAGCCAGCAAGACTAAGGAAGCTTCTGACAAAAATGCTACCCTAACTTTAAATTTCCTGGCAGACAGGGGATATGATGTTTCTAAGAAAGAGGCACAAATTACCCAGTAAAAAATAAAGTATTTGGGATTTGAGCTATCTAATGAACAGAGAACCTTGTTACCAGATTGAAGGGAGGCCCTAGCTAGGGTGGCTGTACCTACCACCAAAAGACAACTACAAGGGTTCCTGGGAATGGCCAGGTTCTCCCACATCTGGATTCCCAATTTGGGGCTTATGGCTAAACCTATTTACAAGGCTTTCAAAGGTGGTGATCATGAACCATTAAGATGAAATGTGGAATGCCATAGAGCCTTCAGTACTATTAAGGAAAAGATCTTAACTTCTCTAGCACTTAAGAAAGCCCTTTGCCTTTTCGTGCATAAGCATCAAGATATATGTTTTGGGGTGCTGACACAGAATCTAGGCAATACCAGATGTCCTGTTGCCTATTTCTCAAAACAACTGGACATAGTAATGCAAGGATAGCCAGTTTGCCTCCAAGTGGTGGCTGCAACCTTTGACCTTTTGCAAGAGACTAAATGTTTAAGTTGGGCCAATCCAACTATGGTGCATATGCCACACTGTGAATTGCCCCTCCTCAAGCTAAAGGGAGGATATTCGCTCAACTTGGAAGATCGGGCAAACAGTAGGCCATACTGTTGGATAACCCAAATGTAAAACTGAAGGCAGTATCCATTCTAAACGCAGCCACCTTACTCCCAAGTACCGTAGATGAGCCTAACCACGTTTATTCCAGTAGACCTGACTTAACTGATCAGCCATTAAGAGAGTCCAGACAGAAGTGTTTTTGGATGGGAGTAGTTTCATGGACAAAGGACTTTGAAAAGCTGGATATGCAGTAGTAACTTTTCAGGAGGTCCTGGAAACTGAGGCTCTCCCACCAGGTACATTCACCCAAAAAGCAGAGCTCATCACTCTCACATGAGCCATTCTACTTTGATAAAAGAAAAAAGTAACCATTAATACTGATTCTAGATATGCCTTTTCTGCAGTACATGCACATAGGGTCATATGGAAAGAGAGCAGTCTATTAACTTATGGGAAAAAGAAAATTAAACATGCTAAGGAAATATTGGACTTATTAGATTCTGTTATGCTGCCACAAGAAGTAGCTTTTATTGCCCAGGATGCCAAAAGGCAGATAGTCATATAGCCAAAGGAAATAACCTGGCCAATTAGGCTACAAGCAAGTAGCAAAAACAAAGGAGTCAGATGTGAAAGGGCTAGACTTCATACCAAGCATGGATATATCCTTATTCCAGCTTAAGTACTTAGAAATGGACCTAGAAAGAGCCAATGATTGGGGATTCCATATGGGCTCCCTGAATGTGGATGAAAAACAATACAATACAAATAAAGGGGGTTGGATATATAATGAGGAGGGGATAATACTTATTACTAAACGCCTAAGGGAGTATATAATTACTCACCTACACTAGGGTACCCATCATAGAAGGGATGTGACCTATCATTGGGCTGCAAAAGTTTGTTATTGGCCCACATTTGCAAAAAACTATTCAAAATGTTGTCCAGAACTGCTTAACTTATGCAAGAAACAACCCAAAGATTGGACCACCTCCAAAGGTAAAGGGAGTACAGAGGACTGGCAAGTAGATTTTACTGTTATGGCGAAGGCCACAGGAAATTATAGGTACTTATTAGTTTTTGTGGATATTTTTTACTGGATTGGTAGAAGCTTTCCCCTGCAGGACATCATAGGTAACTAAGGCTTAGCTCAAAGAGATCATTCCCTGCCATGAACTACCATTTTCCATGCAGAGTGATAATGGAGAAATGGCCTGTCACTGACTCCTGCAAGATAGAGAGGAGAAACTGCCTTAAAAGGGCTCCACCTTGTGCTTATTATCTCCACTGGCTCTGAGAGGAATTTCAGGTCATTCAGAGCTATTAAACCATGCCTACTCATTACGGAGATATTCGAAGTTGCCAGGATGCCTGGAAGAGTTGTTCCCCCAGAGACCAATAAAGTAAGAAGACAAAGCTGAATTTATTGATTACTACAGTAAGGGAGAACTATGCTGATTATGCACAGTCTCTCCAAGCAGAATAGACTATTGGTCTTACATAGAGTTTTTGGGCAAGGCAGAGTTCAATGATTAGCAAATTTAAAGAGGTATTAGAGATTGATATCACCTGTAAGAAGCTGGTTGCTCTGATGAGGATTGTTGTTGACTGTTGGCACTCAGAGACATGTGCTTTGGACTGTTTGTGACTATCATTGGGAGGCCGGCTCTGATCATTGGGGCAGTGGTCCCTACTGAGGTCTGACTGCTACTTGTTACCAAGGCTTTGTTGGAGTGAGCAGGACTGAAGCCATGTTGGGACCTAAAGCTGCCTGGGCTGCGGAGCAGGGCAGGATTTTAAAAAGGACAGTTTTTTTCCCTCCACTCTTTCTTCCCATCCCCTGACTTTCTTATCTCACTCACTAAGTAGGAAAACAAGGCTGAGAAACTAATTAGTACTTTGCAAAACTAACAGTTCTTTTTTTGAGACTTGTAGAGTTTTGAGAAATGATCAGGGCCAAATGACTGAAGCTGACCTCGGGCACCAGCCAAGTACACTGGTGCAAATCAAAATCTTGCAGGGTCCTGAGATAACAGCGAAGATGAGAACAGAAACCTTGTATCTGACCCATAGACATGGACCCCTCATAACTCACATCTCCTGCTCTCCTGCTTTTCACTTCCCACATTCCATTCCCTCAACCCTTCCTTTAAAAACCCCTCAGTAAATGTAAATCTTTGAAATGGGATAGTCTACCATCTCCTTCAGCTGAATACATCTGCTTTTCTAACACCAGTGTTTGACTTCCGAGTTTTTTTCTTTCCTTTTCAAGGGGGCGGGCAGCCGGACCTGAGTCGGGTAACAGCTTCATGGCAATCAGTACTTTTCTAGTACATAGTAAGAACCTGTTTTTATCTTCAAGAGGTAAAAAAAAATCTATGAAACTAATCCTTAATCATCGTTAAAAATTTGTGAAATACCAGTGAGCAAAATTATTTTATCGTTTTTTTCCTCAGAAACTTCCAGACTTACTTTCTGACCACTTGATGGACTGTGGGGACCACGAGAGGCCAATTACATTTAGAAAATCCTTGTCCAAGCCTGAACTTTTGGAGGGAAGGGGCTGGGCTTTGTTTATCTTTAGTCTCCAGCCTAGGTCTAGCACATAATTGGTGCCCAATTCATGGATGAAGTATTAGAAATCACAATCCTTAGGAATGGCAGAAAAAGAAAAAAAGACAACTATTGGGTGGATAAGAAAAAAATCATAGGTTTCACTAGGTTGCCGTGTGATTGTAAGACACCTAAGATGATTGTTACGTAAATATTTGGTTGATGTTAGTATGCACGGTGTGTGTATTTTATGAGTTCCGGATGTGTACCATATCGCATAATTGTCAGGGCCCCAGATATCTACCCCTGTTCAGGGTCGGGGGTTGCAAACCTCTGCTTGCCAGCAATTCCACCCGTTTTCTATTGTCTGCTCGTATATTTTGTGGTGGATGCAGGATGGGAGCCAATAAAGAGAAAGAGACAACAAACGTTAGTAGGTGGCTGCAGAGGGAGGCGGTGGGGAGTGTACCGGGAAAGCGCAGGGCTGGGTGGGATGATGGGCGTCGGGTGTCGGGGCACAGCCGGCGGTGGGAGGTGGCCGGAGGCGGCGCCCGGGCCGCATTGGCCCAGCGGGCGCCCCTCCTCCCGGGGCCGGCCAGTCGTGCCCAGAAAAGTGGCTTCGCCCTGCGGTGGAGGGAGAGGCGACCTCGGAGACAGAGGAATCATGGCCGAGTATACGCGGCTGCAAAATTGCCTGGCGATGATCCGCCTCCGAAACCCACCGGTCAACGCGATCAGGTACCAGGCTCGGTCGCCTCCAGCCGGAGACAGCAGGGGCCTTGCCTGCCCGCCGGCTCTGGAGGTTTTGAAGTCCCCCTACTGGTTTAAACTGAGAAAGACACTGACAAATTGAGCAACTGGTGTGTGCCAGGGCCTTTTCACCTAGTTTAGATTGATTAATCTTCGCAGAGAACTCTCATCCCCCCTTTACTGGCAAGGAATCTGAGGCTGAGAGACAGACAGATGGCTACTATGTGGGGAAGATGCATTTGAACTGGATCTTTCGGTGCCAGCTTCGTGCTGAACCGTTCTGCTTGCTTGCAACTTTGGCTTCCCGGGTGGACTTTCTATTCCAAAGGTCTTGACTTAGCACAGTGTTGGACCTTGATCCCACTTCACTCCCCAACTTCGAGTCCAGGCTGCCCTTACAATGTTTGGCTAAAAGCTTTAAGAATCGGACAATAAAGTGGTTTAAGATTTTTTAAAAATAAAGCAAGGTCCCCATGAATGCCAACACAGTGAGTGAAGAATTGTGCACTGGCCCAGAAATGCAAAATGGTTTCTCCGGACCTGTTCTAAATCTCAGGGCCTTCGTGCCTCCCTGGAAGGTCCATGTCAGAATAAGCCTATTAAATAGCATTTTCTGAAAAAACTGTGCAGTTTATCTTCCTTTGTTTCACCGTGGGGCACCTTCTTCGTGCAATGAATGCCCTTAGAGCATTACTTTAAAAAATAAGGTCAATACAGCTTTTTAAAAAATTAATGAAGTTAATTTGATTTGGTTCTTCCATATCTTTGAAAAAAGGTACAGTTTATACATCAACCTTGGAAAGAGCCACCCATCCACAGGGAGTAGAAGTAATGGAAATTATAATTTATGAATAATATATACAGCATAGATAGAAAGACTTTTGGTCAAAATTCTTATCACATGTTTCTGGAGCCAAAAGAGACTGAAACGAGGAGACCTGCTAATTTTAACTGATTTTTTTTTTTTTTTTTTGTCCTACTGTCATCAGATTGGGTTTTATCATTAGTATTAATATTATAGTTCTGATTGTAATATGAATTATTGCATTTAATAAGACAAAAAACTGCAGGAATAAAATCACACAAGGATATGTCCACTTGCCATTCCCAGAAAAAAAAAAAAAAAGCAAGATATCTGTGATATTGGTTTTCACAGAGAAAAATGTTTTAAGTAATATGATTACATAGCACTTTTGGACTTGTCAGTATAATCATTAGAATTACTAGATATTAGGATTCCGCTGCAGCTTCTGCTCATAAGAGGAAACTGTGCCCATCAAGACTTTAGGGGAAAAAAATTCATCATATAACACCCATAACTAGCAATGTTTTCTGATAACTATTTTAAATGTTTCTGGAATTTAACCTGCTCTCTATTAGTATCTACCGCATAAAGTTGTTGTGAGATTTAAATAAGTTGGAGATTATAAACTGGCGTTTAACATATGTTAGCTATCATTATTCTCATTAGTCAGAAGGCCGGTTACAAGCCCCTACCAATAGACTCAGCTGCTCAGGATTCACTTCAGCTTGATTAGAATTTTCTCCACTTGGGAATAAATACTCACCTCCCTGTTCTCATCTGTCTTCTGAACTTTATTTTAGGTAGGGGCATAAATCCCAGCACGGTCATCTAGATTAACAGATTCCCCAATTTTTTTCGTTATGTTTTTCTTTCCTTCTTCCCTTCCTTCCTTTTTCCCTTCCTATTTCTAATTTTATGTGGGAAGTTATCTATTATTAGCTCACTGAGAGATTCTTACTTGAATATTTTTTTCCTGCCCAAACAGTTTAAATCCTTCATTGCTTGTTTAGGCAACCATATTTCCTTCCAGTCAGAGGAACTCCAATCCTCTTTACAAGTGCAGGACATGCCTGATTACTAGGTCTGCCTCCTCCAGAACAATGGCTTTCACACTCTTTTTGTTGCTGTAATCCACATAGTAAGAAACCTCATGTTTTACTTAGCAACTCAAGGCACACACATACAAATAGAAAACTGAAAACAAAGTTTTGTGTAGCAAAATCTATCCTTACGTGTTATGTAGTTTGGTATATTCTCTCTTCTATTTCTTTGAAAAAATGCTGATCATAAGCCACATTTTCTGTGTGATTTGATGACCTTAGGTTAACAGTAAAAAAAAAAAAAAAAATGCTGTCAAAAAGAAAGACTCTCTTTGGTCAAAGAAGCTAAAGAGTTTTGGTCAGCACTCATGAGATGCTGTCTTCATTCCAGACTCCATTTCTCCACACTTGACAGTAGTAAGGGGAGAAAATAATTTCTTAAATACTGTGGTTTTTACGTTGCTGCAAGGCTGTAATCCCTCTCAGTCAGCCTGAATTTAGTAAAGATGCATCTGTTACAGCCATTTTTATTTTTCTTTATTTTCCTGTTTTTGATTTTTGCAGAATTAACAAGAACATGAGAAATAAAACAGGAAGGGTTAGTTGAAATGGGGAAAGCCAGTCTCTTTTCTTTAATGGCACTGACTGAGCTAACTTTGGCTAATTTCATAGCCATCATTTACCAGAGGGAAATGTTATTGCCCTTTGAACTCAGTATTATGTAATGGTTCAGAATCTGTTTTTCATTGTCAGATTTGGTTTCTAATTAATCAGGCAAAGGCAGCAAGTTTTGATTTCATCTAGGCTAAGAGGTAAAAGGCAGTAGGGTGACTATGGTTAACAATTAAGTTTTGTATATTACATAATAGGCTAGAGGAGACGCTTTTGAATGTTTTTGCCAAGAAGAAATGATAAATGCATGAGGTGGTTGACACATTAACTACTCCAACCTGATTATTATACAACATATATGTATCAAAACATCAGATTGTACCCCATAAGTATGTAATAATTACAGCGTGTATTTAATTAAAATTAAATAAATAAAAGAAAGAAAGAAGACATAAAAGGGAATTATCATGTGCAAGGGCAAGTATCTCCATTATTCACTGAGGTTTTAGCTCATAGTTACTGGTCTTAACAATATGGCCTTTGTGAAAGTTTGTTGTTTGTTTTAAGATTTTTTTTCACCCTGCATACGAAAGAACAGAGATTTAACCCAGAATATTCAGAATTCCAAGGCAAAACTGATTGGAATCTGGTTATTTATTTTTTTTCCTTTTTGTCTTTTTTACTGACCGGTAACGGGATCGCAACCCTTGGTGTTGCACCCACACTACGCTCAGCCAGTGAGCGGGAACCGGTCTCCACATGGGATCTGAACCCTCGGCGGGAGCAGGCGCACTCTCCAGTGCGCCACCGGGCCGGCCCGGAATCTGGTTAAATTTTTCCTTTAAGCAGTTCCTCACCACTTTTCCTAACTCTTTCACCACCCCTTGGCAAGTATTAATCCATTGCTTCTTGGCAAATACTCCTTTGTTGATCTTTGTGATTTGGGGCTCCCTTGGTACTGAATCAATCTGCTGAGCCTCTCCCACTTCTGAAATGAAGACATATCCAGAGGACCTGCCCTGAGCTGTCTTCTTTTCCTTTGGTAGACTCATTCAAACCTGGCTTTAACTATCTCTTCTGTGGATGTTTGCTTCATATACTGAAACTTAGCAAAATCTGCTATAGGCCCTATTTTTCCCTGACATTGCCTTTACCTCCTGAATTAGTTAGGATTAGGTTTGTTTTCAGAGACAGAAAACTCAAAATAATAGTGAATTAAATGAGAAAAAAGTTAATTTCTCTTACAACTGTGTCCTGGTATGGTATGGCTGCTTCACAATCATCAGGGGACTCAATTCTACCTTTTGCCGTCCTCAGTACAGGTCTTCCACTTCTTGGTCCAGTATGGCTGTTCCCAGTCTAGCCATCACATCCGCATTCCTGCCAGAAGTGAGGAGGAAAGAAAAAGAGAAAAACGTACTCAATTTTTGAAGGACTTTTCCCTAAAGTTGCATATATCAAATATTTTTCCATCTCACTGGTCAGAACTTAGTGCCTCAGGCAGACCTTACTACAAAGCAGGCTGGAAAATGTAGCCTTTATTTTGGGCAATGATGTATCCAGCTAAAAACCAGGTGTTTTAATACTTTGAAGTAGGTGGGGAGGAATGGATATTTGAGGTAACTGGCAGCCCCTGCAACATCTCCTAGACCTTTTCACCTTTACTTTTCTTACCTTTTGCCAATATGACAAATTGAAAGTTATTTTGTCCCACTTTGAACTTCTGCATCACTTTCTTTGTACCTTTATTTCAGCACTCATCCTAGTGTGCCTTACATGGTAAATTGTGTACATCCGTTAGGTAACTCCATGCAATGTGCGTAGAAGATGTATAACCGTATTTTAAAATTGGTTAGTGCTGATTCTAAGTGGTCAAAGTTGAATGCAGAGTTCAGGAAAATAACATGTTTTAAAAAGTGGATTCATTTAATCAGCTCAGTGCTTAATTCACAGTAGATATATATATATAATTTGTTGAACAAATTAGTGAAAGCTTTAGTAAGTATCTGTGATTTTTACCCATTGTGCATGTGTTTAAGTTTTCATTGTTAGGAAAGGAAAAAACTCTGAAATGGTAGAAATTTAATTCTGACTAATTTGGTTTATGTAATTTTTGTTGTTGTTTGCTTTAGTGCGGCTGTAATCCATGGAATAAAAGAGGGACTACAGAAAGCTATGACAGACCGTGCGGTAAAAGCCATTGTGATTTGTGGAGCAGATGGCAAATTCTGTGCAGGTAATTAGTGTCTAACTCCCTCCCACTCTCTCTGGAATTCAACCACAGACAGATCGATACTGCATTAGCTGTCCCTGTGGGTAATAACTTAGTGTGTGTAAAGGATATGGAAGACTTGAGTGGGAATGAGAAACATTGTGGGGAAAAAGACAGGAATCACAGGAGAGAACCAGAGAAGACTTTGGCCTTAGTCTCTTTTATATAGGATTGGGCCTTTGGAGGACATTTAGTTCCAGGTTTGATGGCTGTTATACTTGCTGGTATATACCTGCTCTTAGCATGTTTCCACTTGGTATGAGCTTGGACAAGTCTCTTTAATCTCCTGAACCTCAATTTCTCTACCTGTGAAGTAGGAACAATAATATCTATCTTAAGGGATTTTTGTGAGATCACATGTCTGAAAAACCTCTAGTTCAGCACACACAGAAAATGTTCAGTAAATGTTATTTTTTAATTCACACAGTCTTGAAATTAAATTCATTTTTCTTCTGATAGTCACGCATCTCAGTGACCATGGCACTACTTTATTGGGTTATCGTGTGAAGATGCAAAAATATTGACAAAATATGGCAAAAATATCAGAAATGGTGATTTGTTCAATTGTATTTGTGATGCCTCTTCCTCTTTTCCCAAATGAGTGTATCATAGCTTTTAACAAAAGTCACATGGATATGAGTGCCTATTCAATATTACTGTAGCCAGAGGAATTTAATGTGTGTTAATGTTAGCCTGAAAGGACACAGATGTTGGAATCATGACAATAAATAAAATGTTAATCATTATAATAATTACCATTTATCTTGCCTGCCATGTACCTGTATTGTGTTGGTTATTTATTTATTAATAGTAATGAAAATAGTATTTTTACACACATTATATTTGAATCCTCAGTAAATCCTACAATCCCCATTTATAAATGAGAAGGTTGAGCCTGAGAGAAATTAAAATAATGTGCCAAACATTAACCAGCTATTAAATGGCTTACTCACTGTTTGGAAATTTAAGGTGAGGCACCCAAGATGGTGATTTTGAGGCATGGAAAAAGGGCCCAGAATTATGGAGACTTGACATCTCTTTGTTTTTTTTTTAAAAAAAACAAAAAGTAGAGAGAATGTAGAGTTTGAGGGCAGGAAAAATTATTCTAGAAAAGCCTTAGGGATTATCAAACTAGGCTTAATGGACTTATATAGAACAATGACCCCAAAACTGGAAAAATATACATTCTTCTTAAAAATACATCTGGAACATTACAAAAATTGACCAGATTCTGGACCATAAAAGATTGTCTCAATAAATTTCATTTAGAATATATTCTCTGACATAATGCAATTAAGCTAAAAATCAATAACACAAATATAACTAGAAATTCTCATGTGTTTGGAAATTAAATTCATTTCTTAATAACCTCTGAGTCAAAACAGAAATCACAATGGGATTTAGAGAATATTATGAACTGAATGACAATGTAAACATAACATATAAAACTTGAGGAATGCAGCTAAAGTAAAAGTTAGCAGGAAATTTATAGCTTTAAAAGTATGTATTAGAAAAGAAAAAAGGCAAAAGGCTGAAACATAATGAGCTAAGCATCTATATTAAGGACCAAACAAACAGTAGAGTAGACCCAAATAAAGTAGGAAAAGGAAATAATAAAGAGGATAAATTAATGAAATAGAAAACAAATGTGAATCAAGAGCAACAACAGTGTCACAAGTTACTTCTTTGAATGGCGGGGGCAGGGAGGAAAAAAGAGAGGTTATTGCTTAATGGGTACAAAGTATTGGAAATACTTTTGGAAACAAAAAGTTTTGGAAATAGAGGTAGTGATTACATGGCATCGTGAATGTAATTAATTCCACACAATTGTATGTTTAAAAATGCTTAAAATGGCAATCCTTGTGTTACGTATGTTTTATCACAATAAAAAAAAATGAGGGGAAAAAAGTTGGTTCTTTGAAAAGACTAATAAAATTGACAAACTTATGGAGAGATTGATCAAGAAAAAAAGAGGAGACACAAACAGTGCATATGAGAAATGATAAAAAGATGTCACTACAGATGCTTTAGCCATTAAAAAAGATATTATGAACAAATAGAAAAATACGGCTAACCAAAATTGACTTGAGAAGAAATAGAAAACACAAATTGTTCTATAGCCATTAAGAAATTCAGTCATTAATCAAAAATCTCACAAGGTAAATTCCAGGTTCAGATGACTTCATTGGCAAACTCTATTGTAGAGTCAAGGAAAAGATTATTGCAATTTTACACAAATGTTTCAGAGAACTAAAATAAGATGGAACACTTCTTCTTAGGGCTGCTGTAACAAATTGCCACAAACTGAGTGGCTTAAGAAAACAGAAATTTATTCTCACAATTCTGAAGGCTACAAGTTTGCAGTCAAAATACCAGCAGGGCCCTTCTTCCTCCAAAGGCTTCAAAGAAGAATTTTTCCTTGCCTCTTCTAGCATCTTGTGGTTGCTGTCACCTTTGGTTGTAGATGTATCACTCCAATCTCTGCTCTGTCTTCACATGGCCTTCTCCCCTTTATGTCTGTGTCCAAATTTCCCCCTCCTTAATCCATCATGACCTCATCTTGATTACATCTGCAATGACCCTATTTCTAAATAAGGTCACGTTCACAGGTTCTGGATAGACACTATTCAACCCAGTGCCCTTCCCATCTCATTTTATGAAGCTAGCATAACTTTACCAACACTTGACTAGGACAGTATGAAAAATCAAAATTATAGGCCAATTTCATTCATAAATGTAGATATAAAAATCATAGTATATTATAAAACTGAATCTAACAATATTAAAAAGTATAATTCATCACTTTTATCCTAGAAATATTAGATTGGTTGAACACTGGAAATTCATGCCATTGAAAGATTAGAGAGAAAAGTCATATGATTATGTCAAGAGATGCAGAAAAAGCATTTGATAACATTTGACATACATTAAAGATAACGTTTCTTAGTAAATTAGGCATAGAAAGGAAATGTCTTAATCAGGCAAAAGCTACCTGTTTTGAAAAACCTACAGCAAATATCAAACAAAGTGGTAGATTGGAAGCTTTCCTTATGGGAAAGGAACAAGAGAAGGCTGACTGGTCTCACCGTTTCTACTTTTGTATTCAAGGTCCTGGCCTGCCCAGTAAGGCTAGAAAAAGAAATAAAAGGTGTAAGGCTTGAAAAGGAAGAAACAAAACTTTATTATTCAGAAGATATGGTAATGTTTTTAGAAAAATCAAAATAATAAATCAGAAAATTATTAGAATTAGAGAATTTAGCAATTTCTGGATACGAAATCAATATCCAAAATTAATTTATATATGCCAGAAATAATTAAAAAGTGAAATCACTATACCCTTGTCTGTGCCTTGGGATGATAATATTAACCTTATGCTATAAGTAAAAGAATACAGTATTGTGTTTAAGAATGTGGGTGTTGTAGTCAAACTGCCTGAGTTCAAATCCTTATTCTGCCAGTTACTAGTCATGTCTGAACTGGTCACTTAACATCTCAAAGACTTAAATTCCTTATCTGTAAAATGGGGATTGTTATACTACTTAACCTAGGTGCTATGAAAATTAAATAAAACGATATCTGAAACTACTTGGCCCAGTGCCTAATGTATTTATCCAATAAATGTTCATTTCTATTATCACGTGAAAAAACCATCCCAATTTCCTAAAGTTACAGAAATTATAGGCCTGAGATTCAGATTGAAATTGATCTTGTTTCTATAGAACCAAAAGGAATGGAAAAAACAAAACAAAACACTGAATGAGAGAGTGAAATAGGATGGGTCAGTGAGAAAAAAGCATAACACCTGGATTGAAGCTAGATGAGGTGCAGATAGCAAAACAGAAAGAAAAAAAGATGAATAGGCTGAACATGAAGTAATTATTTAACTTTTAAAAATTTGTATCAAGCTTAAGGCAATGCTATAGGAAAGAGCTCACTATGTATGTTATGTAAAAATAGGAAAATATAAAAAAAGACTTTACAGTGTACTCTCAATGTTAAATATATATATATTAAACTTTCATTTAATTCTCCCATCAGCCATTTAAGAGGGGTATTGAGACAAAAAGGATAAATAACTTACTCAAGGTCACAAAGCCATTTACATATATGTATGGGGAAAAAACTAAGAACTTGCCAAAATATTAAATTGTTATCTCTGTGTGGTGCTATTTAGGGTGATCTTTATGTTCTTTATAATTTTGTGCATTTTTCAAATTTTCCATAATGCATGTTATTTTTATAATCAGGAAAAGCAATAAATGTTGTTACTTTTATTTTTATTTTTTATTTTTATTTTTTTTTGTCTTTTGTCTTTTTCCGTGTCCGGCAACGGATCGCAACCCTCAGTGTTGCCCCCGTACCGGACCGGGGACCGGCAACGGGATCGCAACCCTCGGCGTTGCTCCCGCGCCTCGCTCAGCCAGTGAGTGGGAACCGGTCCGTATGTGGGATCCGAACCCTCGGGCGGGAGCGCTGCCGCGCTTCCCAAGCGGTGCACTATCCAGTGCGCCACCGGGCCGGCCCGTTGTTACTTTTATTGATCATAGAAAAAATCTATCACAAAACATAATTCCAACATACAACTCACAAATATGTATGCAATTTACCTTGGTGTTTTATATTGTAATGATTCATTCCCTTTGAAAGATATGGGGCTAAATTGCTATGAATAGTATTGATAAGCAGTATCACTCAAAAATTGAGAGGGGCTGACTCAGTCTCAGAATAATGGTCTTTGATATAAAAAAAAAAAAAAAGAATAATGGTCTTTGGAGGACGATCCCTATTCCTTTCCTCTGAGATTTTTAATTTTTGTAAAGATAGAGTTGCTACCTACAATATGGAAAGACAGATTTTAGAAGATTACAGGATTTCTGGTAAACATTTGAAGATTTTCTCTCATATTGTTCTACATTTCCCAGGCTCCTTGTTCCTTTATTGTGTCTACAGCCAAAGGGTGAAGTGTTTCCTGAGCCCAAAGAGGTCTGAGATTTCTTAAGAGTTATCAGGTATCGAATTGTTAAATAACAAAACCCAAGTCTTTCTCAACCCTCTTTTCTCCTTGTCTTTGTGTCCTTAGGTGCTGATATCCATAGTTTCAGAATTCCTAGGACCTCTGGCCTTGCACTGGGATCTATAGTAGATGAAATACAAAGAAATGCGAAGCCTGTGGTGGCAGCTATTCAAGGCATGGCTTTAGGAGGGGGACTAGAGCTGGCCCTGAGCTGTCACTACAGGATTGCCCATGCAGAGGTAACAGTTGGAGGCTCCATAGGGGAGTTCGTGTGTGTGGCTTTTCTTTAGGGCAAGCTCTAAAGGTAGTCATAAACATCAGAGGTGATAATTTTAAATGGTTAGCTTACTGCTTTACAACTCTTGGGTGTCTCTAACACTGATGTTCAGCTGTTACATACCAGTACAGTGATACTGATTGTTAAAATGTTGAAATATTTCCATTCTGATTGGTAAATAGCTGCTACACTGAGACCTTTAACTGTCTCTTTGCTTCCCTTAACCTTAGTCCTAGGACCTCCCCATGGTCCACCAACTAAAGGGAAAATTCCTACATCAGTAGAGAGCCCTCAGGACTCTGCTCCAGTACCATGGTCAACATCAGGTTTCACTGAGAACCATACCCATGCACTATGAGGTATTAAATATTTTGACTATCACCCCTGAGTATGCATATTTATTTAAATTCTCATTTGCTATCTCAAAGATTTCAGTCTTGTGGACTGTTACAATTATCAGTACCAAAGAAGACATATTCCTATTGAAAAACAGCACAAAACTAGTAAATGTATTTATATGTGGAAATAGATTTAATTTGGGCCATTAGGCATGTAGAATGAGGTCTGTGATACCAGCATGCATCACAATATATATAATAGTAACATTTTTGTAAGTAATAAATTTTTCTTTTTTTTTTGGCAGCTGGCCAGTACAGGAAACTGAACCCTTGACCTTAGTGTTACCAACACCATGCTCTAACCAACTTAGCTAACTGGCCAGCCTAATGATAAAAATAATATCCATCATTGTACTACACTAGAAAATACATGACAGTATAAACATGTAAACTAAAATCGCCATAAAGTCATAGTTCACAAATAACCACTATTAACATTCCATATAATTGTATTTCCTTCTGGTGTTTTTCCTATGTAATTTTCTTTTTCCTTTGCAATTTTTTTTTTCAAAAGACTTCATTTGGGATTTTTTTGTATTTAGTTTATAGACTTTTTATACTAATATTATATTTAACCCATTATTAAATATTTATTCTGTCAATCTCTGCTTTTTAATTGGAGAGTTTAATACATTTACATTTAATGTGATTACTGATAAGGGTGGGCTTATTTCTGCTATTTTGCTGTTTATTTTCTATGCATTATTATCTTTTTTTTGTTCCGCAATTCCTCCATTACTGCTTTTGTGTTAAATAGATGTTTTCTAGTGTACTCTTTGAATTCTCTTGTTTCTTTTACTATATATTTTTGAGTTATTTTCTTAGTGGTGGTTGCCTTGGTGACTAAAATTAACATATTAATTTTTAACAATCTAGTTCAGATTAATAACAACTTAATTTCAATAGTATATAAAAATGTGTTCACCTATGGCTCCATTACTGACTCCTTTATGCTGTTAGTATCACAAATTATATCTTTATACATTGTGTACCCATCAACATATATTTATAATTACTGTTTTATGTAGTGGTATTTTAAATTAGATAAGAAAAAGAATTACACACACACACACAAAAATACATTAGTATTGTCTTTTATATTTATCTATGTAGTTACCCTTTACCAGTGTTCTTTTTTTTTTCATGTGAATTCAAGTTACTGTCTAGTTTTTTTCCACTTCAGCCTGAAGGATTTCTTGTAGGGCAGATCTGCTAGCAACAAGTTCAGTTTTTGTTTATCTGGAATGTGTTGATTTTGCCTTCATTTTCAAAGGATAGTCTTGCTGGATATAGAATTCTTGATTGACACTTTTTTCTTTCAGCACTTTGAATATGTCATTCCATGCCTTCTGGTCTCCATGGTTTCTGATGAGAAATCATATTAATCTTATTGTAAATATTCTGTGAAAGTATCACTTTAAATGGCTTCATAATTTCCTGTCACATAGATAGGCCATAATTGATTTAACCATTTTCCCATGGTGTTTTAATTTTTATGAAAGCTTATAAATAAAGACACATATATATCCTAGGTGCTCCTTTTCTGTGTCCCTCTTGCCATTACCTTCTGCACATTGGGGGCAGATTTGAGTTACTAGCAATAAGTCAGGGAGTAGAGATGAACAGTGGTGGAAAGAATGCTGATTGACTGTTAGAAAAGCCTTGCGTGGGGCCGAGCCCATGGCGCACTCGGGAGGGTGCGGCACTGGGAGCACGGCAGCACTCCCGCCGAGGGTTCGGATCCTATATAGGGATGACCAGTGTGCTCACAGTGCTCACTGGCTGAGCACAGTGCGACCGGTCTCAAAAAGGACAAAAA